GACGATTATCTGAACCGGTCCCGGGCCTCCCCTAGGTCGGCTCAGCCTCAAATGAGTACCTGGTGCGGTGTGTAGTAAACATCGCCACTGGGGAGATAAAGGTGGTCGGGCGTGGTGCTGGCCACCCACCCCTCGTGTGCCGTTCTGGCCTTCATAGGTGCTCGCTAACAGCACTTGCCCCTACAGTCTGTTAAGGCTATACAGGGGATCTTTGTCTTTGTATCTATACCCCAAGATGAGGTTTCACTAATAAAACTAAGGATTTAACTCAAAGAGCTGACGAGTTCAAGTGAGCTCGACGACAACATTGTTTGAATATTTCTATTTATCAAGTGTTAGCCAACACAAGTGTAACAGGTTCCGGAGACACTTGTAGAGGTAACTTCTTTATTACAATACAACACTTCAACAGTCCAACGCTCCAACAGTCCTGATACTCTGTTACAGCTTAGGTACACAGCCTAGCTACACAGCCTAGATACTCTACTCTGGCTACACTCCGGAACTCGCCCTCACAAGGTCGTAGCGTCGGGAGTTCCAGAGTCCCAGCGCTGGCTCTCGCAGCATCCCAGGGTCTTCATATGGCTGGTCGTGGGTCTTGGGTCTTGAGTTACAACTGGGCCCCGATCGTCCAGGGAGCTCCGCTTATATGCCCAGTCCCCAACAAGGGGTGGGGCCGTGTGCGCCACCAGACATCCCACAGAGCACACACAGCCCCCCCCGTTGGCGGCGCCCAGAGGCTTAAGCGTCTGGACCTCCTGGGAACCCAGCGCCTGGCGCCCAGGGGATTACGCGTCTGGACCCACCTGGGAACCCAGAGCCTACAGCAGCCCCTCCCTTCTTATGTCACTACATTACCCCCCTCTATGTAGCCTCCAGCCGTCCCGGCTGTCAATAATTAGAAAGTTTAAATTAACGAAAGGGAGAGAGAGAAGAAAAAAAATACGCGAGCTTCAACAGGAAAAGAAAAGAGAACAAGAAAGCAACCATAAATACCATAACCAACCTGTACAACTCTACACTATATACAAGCATCAATCAACAAAAAGGTGAAGCAATGACACGTGAACAAACGACCCGCGGCACACCTAGCCCTCCTCGGGATCCGCATAGAAAACGGGGAATTAACAACAACAAATATACAGATTCCGACGCGTTGGATGCACAACCAACACCGGTAATCGAACCGAAATCACACAATCACCGCATGGATGGCAGGGATCCACACCACCCTGCCAGCCTCCCATCCGTCAGGTGGAGAGAAGGCGAAGACCAACATGTCGAGCATCCCTCTACACGCACTTATCCGGACGTCTGTCTACGTCCCGGGTCGAGAAGTCGTACTTCAGGGCCGACCCATGTACTGGGCAAAGAAGTCGCACTTCAGGGCTGCTCCAGTATCTACATTTTAAATATATATATATAAAATTTACATGACACAAACAAAATAAATCTGCCTGCTCCTGTCCATAAATGGTGGCCGCACGCATGAACCGCATCTCCAAAAGGCATCCCGTGCTTGCGTCCCAGCAGCCCTCAATGAGGACCACCACCGACATTACATGTCAACCGTTTGCACCCCCCGCCTTTCCAACGTGGCGTCTCCATCCTAAAACCCCGCACGTCGGCCATATCGGGGGGACTTCAACCCAGTCTCTCTCCAAGACTCGCATCGCAGCATATAGCTGTACCGACCGATCTGAGACCCAACCTCTCTCCAAGACTCGCATCGCAGCATATAGCTGTACCGACCGATCTGAGACCCAACCTCTCTCCAAGACTCGCATCGCAGCATATAGCTGTACCGACCGATCTGAGACCCAACCTCTCTCCAAGACTCGCATCGCAGCATATAGCTGTACCGACCGATCTGAGACCCAACCTCTCCCCAAGACTCGCATCGCAGCATATAGCTGTACCGACAGATCTGAGACGACCCATTGTTCACTCCCTGCACAACATGCACCCTAACAACTGAGGGATACAGTCCCAACGTAACGGGACAACTATACCTGAACACCACGAATCTCCAGCCCACTGTTTCAACGCGCCTCGGAGTGTTTCAATCTCCGGGCCGTCAGGGCGAGCCTACTGCTCCAGACGTACCACGGAGGGTCTCAACCTCCGGGCCGTCAGGTCAAGCCGTCAGCCATAGCATGACGGGACCACACTCTCCGAGCCATGTGAGCACACAGCCCACTAGGCTAGACATGCCACGGAGTGTCTCTATCTCCGGGCTGTCAGGTCAAGCCGTCAGCCATAGCATGACGGGACCACAACTCTCGTGTTAGACACGCAACACCCGCTGGGACATCCTGGTCAGGATCTGCACCCCAAGATATTTGAGAGCCAGCATGACAATTCCAATCCTTGGCAGCATGTCACCATCTCAAGATAAATGCCCCATACAGTATATACATCGTTAACAATGACAGCACAAGCTATACATTAACAATCACGAACAAAGCTCAATATAAACCATACATTGTTAACAATCACAAGCAAAGTTTCGCACACACATTGACAACACTCACGGGCGAAGCTCCACACAGTTTACCCAACAACAGTCACGACTCCCCGACGACAACGAAGAAAATGTCAACAAAAAAATAATTAATCCAGAGCGTGTAAATGTACGAAGTGTCAGGGGCCTGGTCTCCCGACCTCCAACCTTTGGCCAGAGCAGCAAAGGCGGCGACCAGCGAGTCGGTCCATGTGCCGGCCCCGGCGCTGGTTACAGTAAGAATGGCGCCCTCACTGTCCGGTCGCAGCGCTGATGACGCGGCGTTGCTAGGTTGCAAACAGCTGTCACCCGGCGGTGAGGGACGCAGCGCTGATGACGCGGCGTCGTCGGGTTGGCCCACGCTGGGCCCGGAAGTGACGTCGCTCCCAGCGGTCATTGCTCCCCCGGCAGAAGTGACGACACACCCAGAAGCATCTCCCACATCCGTGGGGGGAATGGCGGCGGCGTCCACCATGTTTGTGGCGGCGGGGCGGGCTCGGGCGAGCGCCGCGCCTCCTCTCTCCCTCCCGCCATCGGCCGCGAGCACCGCAGCTCGCCCAGGAGGGAGGCGGTGGCGCAGAGCAGCTCTGCGAGGCGAAGCAGCGCCTCCTCCATCTCTGCTCCCGACGCTGGAGAGGGGACGGTCGGCGGAGCAGACAGCTGCTCAGCCGGCGGTGCGGCGTTGTTGTCGGCCGGCATTGGCCGCCCCATCGCTGCCTGCTCCTCTTCATCGCCGTCAGGACTGAAGGTACGTGGCTTACTTCTTGTCTCCATAGCCACTTCTGACGCCAAATGTAACGGGTTCCGGAGACACTTGTAGAGGTAACTTCTTTATTACAATACAACACTCCAACAGTACTCCAACAGTCCTGATGCTCTGTTACAGCCTAGGTACACAGCCTAGGTACACAGCCTAGATACTCTACTCTGGCTACGCTCCGGAACTCGCCCTCACAAGGTCGCAGAGTCGGGAGTTCCAGAGTCCCAGCGCTGGCTCTCACAGCATCCCAGGGTCTTCAGATGGCTGGTCGTGGGTCTTGGGTTACAACTGGGCCCCGATCGTCCAGGGAGCTCTCCTTTTATGCCTGATCCAACGAGGGGTGGGGCCGTGTGCGCCACCAGACATCCCACAGAGCACACACAGCCCCCCCCCCTGTTGGCGGCGCCCAGGGGATTAAGCGCCTGGGAACCCAACGCCTGGCGCCCAGAGGCTTAAGCGTCTGGACCCCCTGGGAACCCAGCGCCTGGCGCCCAGAGGCTTAAGCGTCTGGACTCGCCTGGGATCCCAGAGCCCCAGCAGCCCCTCCCTTTTTATGTCACTACACAGAATTTGTCTTGAAAGGGGGGAAAAGTCAATCGACAATTTTTAAACAAACAATATCAATTGGACCTCAAAGCAATAGCATATGCACCATAAACTCGTCCTGAGATTCGGAATCTGCGTCTCCTAAATTCTAGAAATATCAAATGATACAGCAACCCAAGGTTTGATAGCTTGGGTTACGGTGTACATTCTAATTTGTTCTTAGGGGGTGGCCAATTTGATCGTCCGTATTTACGTATTTGCAGCAATATATCTCAAGCAGCCATGGCTTGGTTAAGTAACACTGGTCAACAACAAAACAAACATTGTTTTCTGGCCTGGACTTTTGCAGCTGTTCTAGACTAATTTGCTGATTCCAAATCTGATCTCAGATTTGCTCTATCACATCTCATTTTCATGCTATCGGCATACCCCATTTTCATTGATTTTACCCGAAGTTAACTCTGTCACTTATGATTGCAAGTTGTTGCGAGTCAGTGACTGCTTTAGTGTTAAAATATGATGCTGTATTTTTAGCAGTGTGTTGATAATATCATTTTATGTAGATATCCACATCTATTTAATATTTTTCTTCCGCAGTTTTTATTGAAAATGCAATATTTGATATGTCAAAAACCTCACGTGATAGACAAAAACTGATGCCAGATTTGGAATCAGCACCCCAAAATTACCTTAAAACCTTTTCGATTTGAAGCTTTCGTGACTGCAGGGATTCATCTTCTTGGTTCTTTCGGTAAAGTCACGTAGAAGGGAAATAATGAAAATAAAATAAAACATAATAAAATACAATTCTCACGACGTTATATATATATAAGCTTTTATGAATAAAGTGTATTAACATACCTTATCATTACATAAAAAAAATACAATTCTCACGACGTTTCGGCCACAACGCTGCAGCGTCTGAATGAACACCACCAAGCTTGGCAGCGTATATATTGCTGCCAAGCCTGGTGGTGTTCATTCAGACGCTGTCTTTCCGACAGACCTGTTCTTCACCTGAGGACGGCTGCTTGCATTGTGGCCGAAACGTCGTGAGAATTGTATTATTTGATTGTTATAATTTTTATTATTTTTTTATTATGTAATAAATGATAAGGTATGTAAATACACTTCATTCATAAATTGCATAATGACAGTCTCCATGTATACTTATTTTACTTGCCCATCTGCCTACGACATAAACGTACGAATTGTCCCTCTGACAACCGCACGGCAGATGGGCACTTGCCCAGAGAGACGGCGCAGTCCTGACACACGACGAGATGCCCGCACGGCACGAACACAACGGACACGTCCTTGTCCATGCACACCTTGCACGTGTGCTGTTCCTGTAGCCGCTTGAGCTCCTGTTCCAGCAGCAGCGCTACCACGGAGAGCACACAAGTACACACACTTTCAGCTTTTCACAAACGACGGTTGATCATTAAGAGCCTACGTACATATTAATGACGACGACTAATAGCAACTGTTAAGTAACTTGGAATAATACCGACGATCCAATGACAGGGCTACATTGTTGGTAAATCAATTCTCGAGATTAATTACATAACCATCATACATGTATTTGTATAATCTTAATTTTGGAGCTTTCGTGACTGCAGGAATTATTCTTTGGTTCTTTCGGTAAAGTCACGTATAAGGATAAAATAATAAATTAAATAATAGCATAATCCGACGTTTCGATTGCAACACAAGCAATCGTCATCAGGTATAAAAGAAATAGCAACAAAAATCTAACCAGAAAACTATAGACAGACATATAAGCAGACAGACATCGCAAAGATACAGAAAGAGAGAACAATTCTTGAGAATTTTGTTGCTATTTCTTTTATACCTGATGATGATTGCTTGTGTTGCAATCAAAACGTCGCATTATGCTATTATTCAATTTATTATTTTATCTTTAAACGTGACTTTACCGAAAGAACCAAAGAATGTATTTGTATAATTTCTGGAATGGAGTATTTACATTCTTCATTTTTTAGTTCCTTTTTCTCAGCAGCAGCAGCAGGCTTCTGTTGTTCTGTTGAAGATACATCCACACGGCACGTTCAACATAGGCAATCACAACCATGTTCGCATAAAGCTGAGCCGAGTACTGGTTTTCAGTATGGTATATTACACTGGTCAACACACTTTGTCTGGCATAAGGTATTCCAACGGTTTAATGCAATTTTGGGGCGTTGCTGATTCCAAATCTGGCATCAGTTTTTGTTAATCACGTCAGGTTTTTGAGATATCAAATATTGCATTTTCGATAAAAACTGCGGAAGAAAAATATTAAATAAATGTGGATATCTACATAAAATGATATTATAAACACACTATCCTAAAAACACAGCACCATATTTTAACACTAAAGCAGTCACTGACTCGCAACAACTTGCAATCATAAGTGACAGAGTTAATTTCGGGTATAATCAATGAAAATGGGGTATGCCGATAGCATAAAAATGAGATGTGATAGAGCAAATTTGAGATCAGATTTGGAATCAGCACCCTGAAATTAGTCTGAAACAGCTGCAAAAGTCCAGGCCAGAATTTTTGTTGTTGTTGTTGACCAGTGTTATCTATAATACAATTATACCTTGACATACCTATCTGATCAATCAAAAACACGACACCCGTTCGCCTGCTATTATGTGTACCACACAATGACTATCCGTAGTTTCCTCAATTTAATCAGCAACAAAATTACAGGCAAATGGAAATTGCAAGTTCAGTTTCTGTTGCTGGGTATGTACCCTGAACGTAATTTGCGGATTTCTTCGGGGATTCTTCTTCTGCATTAAGCAGGTCTTTGACGAGCTCAACGACAGAGCTGTACGTCTCCCCCTTAGTGAGGTAGCGAGTGCGCATCAGAGATTCCACCACCGGTGCAAGGAAGCCCATCTCAAGCACACCCTTGACCACATCGCTCTTCATCAAGGTCTCATCAGCGCAGCCGATGCCTGCACGCAAAGACGACGCTTGCAAAAACATGCAATTAGCGGATAAAAAAAAAAACGACCAGACATTAAACGTGCACTTTGGATAAAGAGTTCAAATGTGTTGTAATGATAGCCTTGTGAGATGCACAAATGTACACATTTTGGCACAAATGAATATAAAAACATGACAATCCTGTTGTGTACAAAAATATATCACCTTACCATTCACATCTTGTGCTGATGCATTCTGTGATCTCTGTCTGAATACCTCATCCTAAAAAAGCAGGATCTTGTCAATTAAAAGCATTTAGATCACTGGTGTTACACAAATAAAAATATATATAAATGGTACAAGCCATGCTTTCTAAAAGTTAAAATCACAACTTTGCCCGTTATTCTAGGCTCTATTTACAATGAAGCATATTGGTAACCAACCAAATATTGTATATTCTTACACTGAGTGATTTACCGCATTTCTGTTGCATGCTTAGTTTAATATTCTTGGTTCTTTCGGTAAAGTCACGTACAAGGGAAATAATAAAATAATAAAAATAAAACAATAACATTCTCACGGCGTTTCGGCCACAATGCAAGCAGCCGTCCTCAGGTGAAGAACAGGGCTGTCGGAAAGACAGCGTCCTAATGAACACTGCTAAGCTTGGCAGCGTATTTAAGCTGGGTGGGAGGAGGAGAGCGCCTTGACAAAGGAGTTTACATATCAACAGGCGAATTTAGCATGTTGATGACAAATGCAGATATGGGGTGAGTCACTCCTTGTGGAATGTGTAGGCGGTAGGGGGTCTCAAAGTCATATTATGCTCGTAGTGTATTATGTAGGATTAGCAGTAATAAAGGGAGGGAAGTTTTACTAAAGGTACTGCTTAGTTTAACTTTAGTCTATTTTGTTTAACAGCTGAGAACTCATTGGCCTAGGTCACCAAAATGACAAAAGCAATCGCGTAAATGACATACATCGAAGCCAATAGAAATCAGAACAGAATGAATACATTGAAATCAGCGCAAAACAATGACACACCGAAAAGCTTCAAAATAACAAACAGAATTCAGAGCAAACCCAATCACGTAAAACATTTTTTTTAAATACCGTATAAACATAAATCTACATCAACTACAAGAAACGAAAGTTGGCTCAGACAAATGTATTTTTACTACATTTAAGGCCAACGGGAACTGTGTTTTTAATGTAAGTACATTATATAATACTCAACAAAACAAGTGTACATTACCATAAGTTCTGACAACCGTGGATGCTGCATCATTATTTCATTAACGAAAGCTTCACCCTTCTGTTGTAAAAGAAATGCACATCTGTAGAGAACATAGCAGAGATGTCAGCAAAGCAGTCGTCATTTGCGATTCAACATCAAAGTGTGTTCACTTCAAGCCCCTCGTCAGCTCTGACAGCCATCGTGTTGCTCGAGTATGTGAAGTGTCTATCTGGTAATTGTTTTTTTACCCTTCTATCTGGCAACAAAACTGACACCTTTTTACAAGGAGTCATGTTTACATAGACCACAATACCTGCAGTCATAATGCAAACAAAAAAACACAACTCTGATAATGTATGCACTGTCATTGAAGTTGATTGGTCCACACCCGAGACAGCTTTCCTTAGAGCCTAATCTCACATGGGTTGGACCAGATGACACCAAAAGGCGCACAACTCAAAGACAGAGTATGAGAGCTCGGGGTAAGCATTTACACCATTGGAACCTCATTTGCCAGTAGCAAAATATATAATTGTTTTTTTAAAAAGTGTCAGTTTTGTTGCCAGATAGAAGGGTAAAAAAAACAATTATCATTTTTTACTGGCAAATTAGGTACCAATGATGTCCATCTGGTACTGACGTCACCGCACAGCAGGTGACATTAGCAGGTGCCGAGTGCGTTACCTGGGAAACCACTTGCCATGTTCATACCAAGGGTTGTCTCCTCGTTCCCAGTTGCGTAAACCACCGTCACAGTGGAAGCACTTCACATTGTCTCCATCACCTAACCAACATACACACATGTTATTTCTGTACCAGAGGTCGCAACCGGGTACCCGATACCCGTACCCTACCCGATACCCGGCTACCCGTACCCGGCCGGGTACGGGTAGCCGTTTGCGACCCTGGTGCGGCCGGGTACGGGTATGGGTAAGGAATCAAAACCCATTTGCGACCTCTGGCGTGGGACCGCCAGCGGCGCCGTCCACAGGCGTGCCAGGGAGGACAGAACGACCGCCACCCGCTTCTTCTCCTCCCCCTTTCATCTTCTTCCTGGGAGGGGCGGCACCCGTTGGGCCATTTGACAGTCATCCCCGTGGTCCCAGGAAGCAGAGGTCGCAAACGGGTTTTGATTCCTTACCCGTACCCGGCCGCACCAGGGTCGCAAATGGGTACCCATACCCTACCCGATACCCGGCTACCCGTACCCGGCCGGGTATCGGGGAGGGTACGAGGACGGGTACCCGATTGCGACCTCTGGGATGAAGCCACGTTGCAGGCGCGGGTGGGTTGATTCTAGGAACTTGATTTGTGAGAAGAGACAAGACGTTGGGAAATGAGTGACAAACGGTGACTCACCAGTGACTCACGGCCTACCCGTACCCGTACCCGGCCGCACCAGGGTCACACACAGCTACCCGTACCCGGCCGGGTACGGGTAGCCGGGTATCGGGTAGGGTACGGGTATCGGGTACCCGGTTACGACCTCTGCCAGGAAGCCCATTCTTGCCCCGCCTGGGGGCTCGGCGACGAGGACCCGTTCCAAAACTGTTTGGTTCAAATAACCCGCCCCTTCCCATCGTCCTGTTTACTCCAACACCGTCTGGCGGGTAGTCGCAGACGCGAGCCGGGCCGTGGCTGTCGCTTGAACCGAGGTCCTTCCTGTGCTCACAGGCTGCGGCATGCTGACGGTCGTTTTGTATATTCCTGGGGGCCGGGTTATTGGCGTGCGTACGCGATTATTTTTTTATCGTTCCGGTTATTAATTGTTATTGTTAATTAGCTCGCGAGTGGGACGATGGTTGCTGCTGTTGTTGTGTTCATTGTCCTGCTACGCGAGGAGTGGAGGTCAGCCGGGACGGCTGTTTTTTTTCACAGGGGGGGGGGGTGATGTAATAACATGGAATGGGTCGCTACGGCGGGTAGCGCTGTTTGCTGGCAGGGAAGGGGGTCTTGACCTTTGGTTTAAAAAAAAAGGTTAGGACCACACATTTACACCTCACAGAGAATGCTCTTGCCATACCGGTGTAATAGAAGCCAGCAATTGCGAGTGAATGGGCAGCTACATTGGCAGTGGATGGCCAGGCCTGGTAGGTTGCAAGCCGGGCCACCATCAAATGCATTTTTGGATTTCTGGCCCGCGTCCTCGCCATAGGAGATGCAGAACGCGCACGGCTTTGAGTGTCCGGCAAAAATGAGGCCTGCTAGAAAAGCACCCGAAAAAGAACAGAATTACTCATCAAATGTAACGTTCTTCTTGACGTTCAGTACTTTTTGTCAAGAAATGTCATCTATATTCTTGGGTTTTTTCGGTAAAGTCACGTAGGTAAAATTTTTTAATTAAAATAAAAATCACGACGTTTCGGAGACAACACAAGCCTCCGTCTTCAGGTGGAACCGTCACAGCACGATAGCTGTTTTAATTTATTTTTTTCACTTGATACAGCAAGCGTGCTGTGACGGTTCCACCTGAAGACGGAGGCTTGTGTTGCCTCCGAAACGTCGTGATTTTTATTTTATTTTTTACCTACGTGACTTTACCGAAAAAACCCAAGAATATGAATCCTTGCAGTCACGAAAGCTTCAAATCTAGAAATGTCATCTAGATTCAACAAAGTACAGGGTGATCCCCTTATAAAAACCCCACTAAATAGTATGGAGAAATTCTTTATCACTCTCCTCTGTAAGGTACGGAGGCATGGCTATCACAATATTCACTGACCTGTTGGGAAAAGAGTTATAAAAAATCAGTAGGGTGCCTATAAACACAAAGCAAGACATGCCCCAAATGTCGTGGTCATTTTGAAGGATGAATGTAAAAGACATCCTGGGTAATGCAAAGTAAGGTATTGACCGTGCCCGGTGCCAATAGAAGTATTGAGATCTGGTTACACATGATTCAAGTGGCCATGGCAGAAATAAAGGCCACATACCTAATTACAAAATGCACCCTCAACGTATTGCTTTTAAGTACAGGAAAGATAGTGCATCTTATAACGCAGAGAATATGGTTATAGGCAAACATCTTTAATTAATTGAGAAGCATCCACATAAATATGCTAAATTCCTCTTGATATGCAAATTCCTTTGTCAAGGCGCTCTTCCCCTCCAACCCAGCTTAAATATACGCTGCCAAGCCTGGTGGTGTTTCATTCAGACGCTGTCTTCCGACAGACCTGCTCTTCACCTGAGGACGGCTGCTTGCGTTGTGGCCGAAACGTCGTGAGAATTATTTCATTATGTTTAATTTTTATTATTTTCCTTCCACGTGGTGACTTTACCGAAAGAACCAAGAAGAAGAAGACATCCACAAGACCATTTAGCAACACCCACCTGGGCCTGAGCGAGTGGGATGTTACCGGTGTCGCTGCAGCCCATCACGAAAGCACAGGTGGAGAAATGTCGCTCGTGCTCCTTGACAGGGACATCTCCCTCCTCCCAGTGAGACATGACGCCGCAGCAATAGAAGCACCTCACCCGGTCGCTGGGACCCAAGTAGTACAGTCCGGCCCGTGCCAAGTCCGCCGGCCGGACAGGAGATGACTCTGGCCACGTGGAGAATGACAGCAGCCTGTTTGCTTCGACGCGCATCTCTGAATTCGATGGTGCCCCTGCCTCCACGTGTGGCAAGGAAGTTGGAGAGTTTTGCAGAGGTGGTTCGTTCAGAGAGTGATGATGGGTGATTTCGGATGCGTTGTTGGTAGCCGCCACCACATGTCTTGGTACAGATGCTCCAGCGGAGGTCTGAGCATCTGTAGCTTGTGCCAACGACCGAGCAAATGTACAATTTGGAAAACTCTGCAAATGCTTTGCAATGGCCGAGTCACCTGACTTCCAATTACCGATCACTCCTTTGCACGAGAAGCATTCCACCTTGTCTTCCTTTCCAGTGTAGAAAAATCCAGCTTTGACCAGGTCCTGTATCAGTGGCTCTAAGTTTGATGGGCAATTGACAAACCGGCCAAGGCGATACATGCGTTTTGAAAGGTCGTCGATGGAAAATGCCATGCCTCCTTTCTTCACTTTGAGAACTCCTAAACATGGAAAACAAGTAATTAAAACAGATATGATAATTGGTTTTTTACCCTTCTATCTGGCAACAAAACTGACACCTTTTTTACAAGGAGTCATGTTTGCATAGACCACAATACCTGCAGTCATAATGCAAACAAAAAACATAACTCTGATAATGTATGCACTGTCCTTGAAGTTGATTGGTCCACACCCGAGACAGCTTTCCTTAGAGCCTAGTCTCACATGGGTTGGACCAGATGACGCCAAAAGGCGCACAACTCAAAGACAATGCACCATCAGAGTATGAGAGCTCGGGGTAAGTATTTACACCATTGGAACCTCATTTGCCAGTAAAAAATATAATTGTTTTTTAACCAGATGACGCCTATATATTATCAGAGTTATGTTTTTTTGTTTGCATTATGGCTGCAGGTATTGTGGTCTATGCAAACATGACTCCTTGTAAAACAAGTGTCAGGTTTGTTGCCAGATAGAAGGGTAAAAAAACAATTATCATATTTTTTACTGGCAAATGCGGTTCCAATGGTGTAAAACAGATATGTTTCAGTCACTTTAAATATTTTGTTTTCCCATAATTGTTTCCGTGGTTTCTGTAAGGCTTTGAGTGCTACCCTTTATAACTCAACCTGCTAAACGTTTACAAAAAATAAACAGTCAATATTACCGCCTAAAAATGAAATATACGGGGTGATATTTATTTAATAAATCACAAAGGGTAATTTAATATACTTTAACAAATGTTCAAACTGAATTCCATTAACGTTAATGCACGCATGAATTCTGTTTCGAAAAGAATTTAGGATTCTTTTTAAGATTACAGGAGTAATATTTGAACATTCATTATTACACTGGTCAACAACAACAAAAATGTTTTTCTGGCCTGGACTTTTGCAGCTGTTCTAGACTAATTTCAGGGTGCCGATTCCAAATCTGATCTCAGATTTGCTCCATCACATCTCATTTTTATGCTATCGGCATACCCCGTTTTCATTGATTTTACCCGAAATTAACTCTGTCACTTATGATTGCAAGTTGTTGCGAGTCAGTGACTGCTTTAGTGTTAAAATACGGTGCTGTATTTTTAGGATGGTGTGTTGATAATATAATTTTATATGTAATATTTTCTTCCGCAGTTTTTATCGAAAATGCAATATTTGATATCTCAAAAACCTGCTGTGATAGACAAAAACTGATGCCAGATTTGGAATCAGCAGCGCCCCAAAATTACATTACAGCCGTTGGAATACCTCATGCCAGAACAACAAGTGTGTTGACAAGTGATATGTTGTCTCACACCACACACAGACACACAGTCACACACACAGTCACACACACACACACAGACACACAGTCACACACACAGTCACACAGACACACAGTCACACACACACACACAGTCACACACACACACAGACACACAGTCACACACACACCACACACACAGTCACACACACAGACACACAGCCACGTGTGCGACCCACTAGGCCCAAACTCACGCTGAGCGAAGCGTCGATGTCCGTGTGTGTGCACACGTGGGACTGTTGTTGTTGTGGTTGTTGTTTCTGCTGCTGCTGCTGTTGTTGTTACACCTCCCAGCGAGGTCTATCGTCTCTCTCTTCTCGTCTCACGATTTCCTTCACGAGTCGCTGGGAATTCCCCGAAGTCTCTGCCGCCCGTTGTTGTTTCAGTGGCAGTAGACATCTTCCGGAAGACGCGGTGGATTCTGGTCTTCTGAGTGGGTGAGTGAGTGGGTGAGTGGGTGGGTGGGTGAGTGAGTGGGTGAGTGGGGGGTGGGTGGTGGGTGGGTGGGTGAGTGGGTGGGTGGGTGAGTGGGTGGGGTGGGTGAGTGGGTGCGTGGGTGAGTGGGTGGGTGAGGTGGTGAGTGAGTGAGTCGGTGGGTGAGTGGGTGAGTGGGTGGGTGGGTGGGTGAGTGGGTGGTTGGGTGGGTGAGTGAGTGGGTGAGTGGGTGAGTAGGTGAGTGGGTGGGTGAGTGGGTGAGTGGGTGGTTAGATGGATGAGTGAGTGGGTGAGTGAGTGGGTGGGTGAGTGGGTGGGTGAGTGAGTGGGGGAGTGAGTGGGTGAGTGGGTAAGTGAGTGGGGGAGTGAGTGAGTGAGTGGGTGGGGGAGTGAGCGGGTGAGTGAGCGGGTGGGTGAATGAGTGAGTGGGTGGGTGGGTGAGCGGGTGAGTGAGCGGGTGGGTGGGTGAGTGGGTGAGTGAGTGGGTGGGGGGAGTGAGTGAGTGAGTGGGTGGGGGAGTGAGTGAGTGAGTGGGTGAGCGGGTGAGTGAGCGTGTGGGTGAGTAAGTGGGTGGGTGAGTGAGATGGGGGGGGGAGATGGGGGAGATGGGGGAGAGATAGGTGAGAGATGGGGGGAGGGATGAGGGGGAGAGATGGGGGGAGGGATGAGGGGGAGATGGGGGAGAGAGGTGAGAGATGGAGGGGAGATGGGGGGGGGGAGAGATGTGGGGGAGAGGGAGGTGAGAGATGTGGGGGAGAGATGTGGGGTGGGGTGTTTATTAAAGTGACTTTTTAATTAACATACAGCTGTGTGTATCTGTGTGTGTGCGTGTATCTGTGTGTGTGGGTGTGTGTGCCTGTGTGTGCGTGTATCTATGTGTGTGTATCTATGTGCCTGTGTATCTGTGTGTGTGTATCTGTGTGCGGGGCCCGGGTAAAACTACGTGGCCGGGAGTCGGAGCCTTTCCCTGTACACCTTGGGGTGCGACAGGGATGTCCTCTGGCTCCCACATTATTTAACATCTATTTTGACCGCGTAGTTCGTGAAGCCTTCAATAGCTGTACCGGGGGAATTTCCATTTGGTACAGATATAATGGGAGGCTGATCGATGCCCGGGTGCGATCAAGGGATGGCTCCCTATTGGTCAACCACGTTATGTATGCCGATGATTTGGTAATAGCTGCTCATTCAGAAGAGGAGTTGGAGACGCTGCTGCTGAGACTGGAGCGTGCCACTAAGAGGTGGGGCCTTACCATCAGCCCCACCAAAACTAAGCACCTGCCTGGGTATTTTGTACCATCGGACACTCCACCCCCACAACTCCCAATTGGTGATGGGGCAGTTGTGGAGAGAGTGGAGAGTTTCCCATACCTGGGCAGTGTGCTTATGACCGGCTCCAGTTTATCAGCAGAGGTCTCACTCCGAATCAGTCGAGCGGCAATATCTTTTCATCGGTTGCGTAACGCTGTGTGGAAGCTACCTGGTCTGTCGCTCCGCACGAAGCTTCAGGTCTTCTCGGCCACGGTCATTCCCTCCCTTCTCTACGCTTGCGAAACGTGGACCCCCCTAATGGAGCATCTTCGCCGGTTGGAAACATTTAGGCTGGCCTGCCTACGATCCATCCTGGGTTTAACCAGGCTGGATTGTGTGAGGAGCTCACAAATCCTTGAAAGATCTGGGCAAAGTCCCATCAGTGAGCTCCTCCGGCAGGCAAGGCTGCGTTGGCTGGGTCATGTAGCCCGCATGCCCAGCCACCGCATGCCTAAACAGCTTTTGTTCGGCCGGATCGAGGGGGCTAAACGGGCGCGGCACGGGCTGAGAAGAGATGGAGTGATGTGGTACAGGAGGACGTGGAGCTGAGTGGACTTGCCGATGACTGGTACCAGCGGTGTCAAGATCGGCCTCAGTGGAGGAGGCTCGTGAAGGACGCTACTGGGCAGTTGGAGGCAGTCGCCCTCCAACAACAACGGAGGGCGGAGGAGCGACGCTCACAACAACGAGCGGAGCGCCGGGTGGCTAAAGCACAGCAAGTTGGTACAGTAGGGGGCACAGGTGGTGCATCAGCCAGTCATCTCGGTCATCTCGGTCAGTCGACCCGTGGCACCTGGGTCTGCCCCGTGACCTCCTGCCAGCGGGCGTTCGACACTTCACGTGGCCTCAAGGTGCACTTGGCCTGGCACAAGCGTCGTGGTGACGTCACCGCCACTTAGTGGCGAATGGCGGTTGTTGTTGTTGTTGTGTGTGTGTGTGTCTGTGTGTGTGTATCTGTGTGTGTGTGTGTGTGCGTGTATGTGTTTGTGTATCTGTGTGTGTGCGTGTGTATGTATCTGTGCGTGTATCTGTGTGTTCTGATGATGATGGCGATGGTTGTGACATCCAGAGAAGAGCCATGGAGAGGGGAGTGAGGGGAGGAGCAGGAGGAGCAGCGAGGAGAGGACACGGCAGGGAGGAGGCCCGAGAGATGCTGACCGCAGACGGGGTCCAGTGGCGGAGAGAGGTTCCCGTGCGGAGGTCGGTGAGCCGGACGGTGCCCAGCGGGAGTGACGTGGAGATGGCGGTGCACGACGCGGAGAGACCCGGCAGGCCGCTGAATGCCACGGCGGGACGAGTGGCGGTGGGGAGAGAGAGGCTCGCGGCGGGCAGGAGGCCTGCGTGGGCCAGAGAGGCGGGCACGACGAGGCGGGCCGATCGGAGGGTCGGCGACTGGCGGACAAGGAACGATGCGATCGCGAGGGACAACGAGAGGTCGCTCGACAGGGACGTGCGGAGGGCGATGGAGGCGACGAGGCGAGCGGCGGGGAGGGCGAGAGAGGGCGGCCGGCGGGACGTGGAGGGGGGCGGCCCGAGGCGGCGGAGCGGAGACGATGGTTGCGGCGGATCACCGAAGCCGTGGGCGCCGTGGGGCTGCCGGGAAGGGTCGTGCCGATAAGGGACCGGCGGGCAGAGAGAGAGGCACTCGGACTTGTGGGGAGGATATTGCCAGCCAGGGAGGGGGAGGGTGGAGAGGGGGAGGGGGTGAGAGAGGGGGGGAGGGCGGAAGAGGGGCAGGGTGGGAGAGGGGTGGAGAGGGAGGGAGAGGGGTCTGTTGAGATTTTTGGAGAGAATCGTTCCGATTAGGAACCGAGTGCAGGAGAGGGAGGGAGCGAGGGAGTGAGAGGGACATGGGGTGATGAAATGAGAGAGGGGGAGGGTGGGATGTGGGAGAGGAACGGAGCGAGGTGGCTGTGGCTCACTGCAGGTTCACTTCCCTGCAGAGTGGTGCTCACTTTAGTTGTGATGATGATGATGGGCTGAGTCACGACCCCAACCAGGGATTGAACCTGGCCCCCTTTCCCACTGACCCACGTTGCCGGGGGGTTCATCGTTAACTGCTCGTTCACCGTTGGTTCTTCACGGGCGATCATATTTTAATATTTTGACTTGAAGAGGATTGGTCATTTGTTTGCCGAACACGACGATTGTGCGTGTATGCGCCATGTGCTGACGCGTCGCGAGAATCGTAAATTTGAGAGTTAATTTACAAACTGTAACTCGATGTCGGGATGTTCAATTGTAGTTACTTCATGTTCATTGTAAAAAAAAAAAATGTTTGATCATTTCCACCGCCCTCTGCGGGACATCGATCGCTCAAACCCGAATGCGAGAGAAACACACAGAGAGACAGACAGAGAGACACAGAGAGACAGATAGACAGAGAGAGACATACACAGAGAGAGACAGAGACAGAGAGAGAGACACAGAGAGACAGATAGATACATGGCCACACAGAAAGATAGAGAGAGACACAGAGAGAGAGACCAGAGAGACAGAGAGAGACATGCACACAGAGAGACAGAGAGAGACAGACACAGAGGGACACAGAGAGACAGAGAGAGACATAGACACAGAGAGACAGAGAGAGACACAAAGAGACACAGAGACACAGAGAGACAGAGAGAGACATGCACACAGAGAGACAGGGAGAGACAGAGAGAGACAGAGAGAGACAGAGACAGAGAGATACATGGCCACACAGAAAGACAGAGAGAGACACAGAGAGACAGAGAGATGCATGGCCACACAGAAAGACAGAGAGAGACACAGAGAGACAGAGAGACACAGAGAGACAGAGAGATACATGGCCACAGAGATAGATAGAGAGAGACATGGGGAAAGAGATGGTGAGATATCCACAGAGGGACGATGTTAATGATGTTGATGATGGAGTTGACGCAAGGTAAATCAACACCCGTTCATAATAAAAATCATCCATCCACCACGACCGCTGTTGCTTGTTGCCAGCTCCTAGTGGTGCGATTCCGACCTTCTGCAGTCCGATCCAGAAATTGCCATTGGCCTGCGAGTGTGCCGATGCGAGTGGTTGGCGTTGACCACCCGGTCAGCCGTCCCTTGTGTAACGCGTGTCTGACGAGGCACACGCTGGGATGGGAGGCACCACACTTTATTTACTTGACAGTAACAGCTACGGCAAGGCTATTCTACACCCCAACGAGAGGGAGGGACGATTCTTCATGCCCGGAGCCTCAACACTCTCGGCTCCCACCGGCGTGACCGTGCACCAGAGGTCGCAAACCGGGTACCCGATACCCGTACCCTACCCGATACCCAGCTACCCGTACCAGGCCGGGTACGGGTAGCCGGGTACCCGTTTGCGACCCTGGTGCGGCCGGGTACGGGTAGGCCGTGAGTCACTGGTGAGTCACCGTTTGTCACTCATTTTGCGTAGGGTACGGGTACGGGTAGGCCGTGAGTCACTGGTGAGTCACCGTTTGTCACTCATTTCGGGTAGGGTACGGGTAGGCCGTGAGTCACTGGTGAGTCACCGTTTGTCACTCATTTCCGGTAGGGTACGGGTACGGCTGGGGAACGGCTACCCGTACCCGTACCCGGCCGGGTACGGGTACGGGTACCCATTTGCGACCCTGGTGCGGCCGGGTACGGGTAAGGAATCAAAACCCGTTTGC